CGGCAGCGGGGAGAAAAAGGGCCCGCGCGCACCGGGCGCGTGCGGCAGCTCCGTGGGCACCGGCACACACGCGGGAAGCCGCGCCGGGAGCTGCGGGCCGGGCGTTTGTGCAGCCTCCACGCGCTTGCTCCGCGCTGGCCACAGACGTGCGATGCCCTGTGTGCAAAACGTCCAAAGTGCCTCTAATTAGAGGCTTGCGATAAAAATACCCGTAGTCCATAAACAGAGCGAGGCAGACGGAGAAGAGGCACATGCCAGCGTGACTGACGCCCGGGGAGCGAGACAAGATTAGGATCAACGCGGCCTCACACATCCAAATGGTTCAAAATAGATGAGCATATGCCTGAGAAATGAACTAGGGGGAAAAAATGATGGGACTGCAGGAGGAGCGGGGTCAAGGTCCGTGACGCTGGGTAATCAGCAGCTTGTCTAGACGACGGCGCGCAAAAAAAGACACGTGAAGGCATCCTACTGCCTCTGCCGTCTATGGGCTTTCCTGTGCCAAAGGAAAATGACCCTGGAGACACTTCGGATCTTCTAACAAAACTGCGTCCGCTGGAAATTGTCCCTGGGCCCCTGCCCTCTTGCTATGTGCAAGGAAAATTCTCCTTCCCCCTGAGCAGAGCGGGGTTTCACCAGGGCTGCTCTCCCCCATGGGGACTCTGCAAGCAGCCCGAAGCTTCCCAGACCCCTTCTTGGGACAGGAAAGGAGCCTGTCACAGCGACCGCATCCAAGCGGGAGCGAGCTCAGCGGTAGGGAGGGCTCCAGATGGACAGCCCTGAGGCCTCGGGCAGGCTGCTCGTGCGTGCACAAGGTGATGCAGCTCGTTGGCAGAGCCCTTGGAGTCTGGTGCCTCCCATAATGACATTCCTGCCTGCCGCGGGTGTTGGATCGAGAGCTCCTCGTGACAGGCACAGCCTGTTCCCCCAGGTCCGAGCAGCTTCTCCGCAGCAGGGCTTGAACGGCAGAGTGGGCCTCCAGGCTCTGTAAGAACTAAACGAATCTCTGTTTCATTCAAGCTGCCCTCAGCTGCCATCCGATCCCGAGCACTTGGCGCACGGCGCGTTCCGCACAACCTTGAGGAATCCCCAAGGTGCGGCCTTTTAGTCCTTGGTTTAGTCCTTGGGAGGGCTCCGGGGTTGCGCATCCGCTCCCTTCCCTCCCATCTTGCTCTCTCATCTCTCATTTCGAGCATCATTGGGAAGCTCTTCAGAGAGCAATGAAATCATAGGAAGAGACAGGTTTATGCTGCCCCTCGTCACGCCTGAATAAATCTCTGCACAAGACAGGGCTGCTCTGAGCCCATATTTTATTCTAGTCACTCGTTTCGACATTAAATAATGAAATGGGAGCTCCATTTGGGTGTGAAAACCAATGTTTTACATTGCACAGCTTTGCTGTCCTGATTCGAGGGGCACTGTGTTGTATTTATGGTGGCTCCTTTTGCTCGCTGGGCCGTCCGCTTCGAACGGCTCCTTCAAGTGGCCGCTCTTCAGCATGGTCTTAATCAGGTCCCCTGCACCGAGCGCTGACAGCGGGTGACGTGGGAACCCCAGTCACCCCGGGCTGACTCTGAACGCAGAGCATGTGTCCAGGCCCATGATTGTTTATTTATTATTTGTATTATTTGTATTTATTATGACTAGGCGGGGGGAGTGGGATGGAAGGTCTTTTTGGTGCTTGTGAGGAACACGCAGCAGCTCGGGATGTTCTTGGTGCAGAGCGACTTCTTGGAGCCAGAGGATGCAGAGCAGAGGATGCGGGGTTGGAGGCCATGACCCTGGGGGCTGTGGGGTGGAGGCCATGGGGTGGGGGACGCAGAGCGGAG